AAATGTAAAAGGAATGTTAGGTGACACGTAAGGTCAATCCTATCCTATGAGTCATGTAGACAATTTATTCATTTATGATATGAATAAGTATTTTTGCTTTTAATAAATGTTAAGTTTCTATTGACTAATTCTATGCCAATCTACTATTAAATGCACCTTCAACTCATTTATCAGTCAATAAACAAATGAAAAAAAGAAAAGATAATTTCTTGACAATATTAGAATAAATTAATACTTTTTTTATTGCATAGGAAACAAATTCTACCTCTTCAGAACTCTTAAGAAATTAAAAATTCTATTTGTTTTATAATGCTAATGTAGAATCCTAAACATACTATATTTATGTAATTTGCTTTGTCATTTCATTCATAAGATTATTTTTCAGAACTATTATTTCTGGAAATGTGGTATCCATCAATTTCTGCCCCTGAATTTTGATGGTTTTTATAAGGATAAAAAAATTTTTTGCTCAAAATCTCTGAAATAATCTGTATTATTTATGCAAACATTACCTTATCAGCACCACATAAAGCACCATTTGTGCTTCCAGCAAAATTCTTCAGCACAAAATAATTAAATGCTGAATGCAGAAATTTATTATCAAAAATTACAATTAACTCATGACCTTTTTGCCTTGAGTAACTATCTCATTATCAATCATTAGCTAGAACTAGTACAAAAGTTATAATGTCAGCCACAGTTGCCCTAAACAGAGCATTTGTATGTTTTCTTACAGGCCATAAATAAATAAATAAATAAATAAAGTACCTTTATGTCTACTTACTATTAATTCGTTGAATCATATCCTCTTTAGTTCTTACATCTTGATCATACTGGAAAACTAAAATACAGAAGCCTTCTGTGACTTCACTTCATCATTAAAATGTCAAATAAGAATACAAATAATTACCCACTTAGGTTATTTTCATTTTACACCTACCAAATTCGAGTAAAAGTCTGTCCAAACTGACAAATAGGCTGTCATCCATCTTGTATACTATGTTTAAATAAGAAGGGAAAAAAAGACATTAATAACGAAAGATTTTCTGAAAAGTCATAGATTAGCACCTTTAGAAAAAACTGTGGCTGGAGCAATAACTGGGGAGGAGAGGTACCCTTTCAGCCCATAGTTACATTCCTAGCCTAGTACTGATCCTAGCTCTAAAACCAGTTGCCATTGGGTGGACTGATCCATAGTGACCCTGTGTCTATATCATGCATAGAACTGTGCTCCTGAGGATTTTCAATGGCTGGTTTTTCCGTAGACCACCAGACATTTCTTCCTAGGCACCTCAGTGTGGACTCAAACTCCCCAACATTTCTGTTACTAGCCCAGCACATTGACTGGTTGCGCCACCCAGGGCCAGGACATCTGTTATTGTGGGCCATGAGCAAATTCCAACTCACAGTGACCCCATAAGGTTTATGGCATCAGGGGTCCAGGGACACAGATCTAGTAGGCACTGGATAGGTGGGGAATCTCATTGTTTAGCTGGAACTTCTGGGCGAGGCAGGGAAGGCCTCAGAACAGCAACACTGCCTGTTGAAATGGGCTTGACGGCGGTGGTTTGGCGGTGGGTCCACAGATAGACAGATTTCTCACCCACAAAAAAAAAGATCCCTTTTAAATAAGTAATATCTCTAAAGAGCCCCTTCCTAAAAAGTCGTTCACTCACTCCAGTGAGACGAAATCTGGGGCAAACAGAGCAATCTGACAATTGACTAGACTATCCCCAAGAACTCCCCAAAAGGACGTTTTCGCAGGACTCCCAAGTCCCGTTACAAGCTACGCAGGAAGCAGTCTTCTAGCACACTTTACCCGCGGAATCCATGCACTAAGTCTCCTGCGGGTTTTCAAGAGGGGAAGTGGTTCTCAGACTAACTTTCTCGCGGACGAGCTCTGTCACACACACCTGCTCCCTCAGGCGCACGGCTCACCTCAGCCGGCGACGCTCGAGCCACGCGGCGCCGCCCACAGTTCCGTGCGGCACTGAGCGTTCCCGTCCCAGAGACGCGCCGAGCGACCCCCAGAACGCCACCCCGCTAGTTCCCCCAGGATGGATAGGCAAGCCACAGCCTCAGTCAGGGCCGCCAGCACGAGAAATAGCCGCCACACAAACTCCCTTTCCCGCCCACCTCAACGGCCCCCCTGAGACGGCGAACGTCCGTGCCCTTCTCGCCCCTGGCTTCACTCGGGTTGGAGAAGGGAACTCTGAGACCACAGATCCTAAGGCGAACGAGTCGGAGCCCTGGCCCCGGCACTCCTCGCCTATCGCCCCTGCCTCTCCCGGCACCCGCCCCGCGGAGTACGCGGCCGGAGCTGCTCTGAAAAGCTTCCGTCCGTGAAGATCATGTACTAAGCATGTAGTCACCACAGACTGGGTGCTACGAAAAGCGGCCTCCCTGGGTTTCTCCCGTGTCCTTGAAAACAAAACTTTTTAAAGACAAATCATTGTTGTAACATAGTACTATTTTGTTGTGGTAGTTGTTATGTGCTGTGTAGTCAGTTCCGACTCAGAGCGAGCCTGTACAGAGTTTCTGAGGCTGTAAATCTGTACGGGAGCAGAAAGCCTCTCGAGGAATGGCTGGTAGTTTCGAACTGCTGTCTTTGAGGTTAGCAGCCGACTCGTAACCACTAAGCTACAAGAACTGCGTGATATTAACTTTACGAGACAGTAAAACATCATCTGAAACCAAGAATCAAAATTCAATAGGTATTGATGTCAACATTTTTCAAAACTTCTTGAAAAGCATGCATAAGAAACTGACTCTCTTGTTCGATTCCCAATAAAGTACACTTTAACTTTATTGGCACAAAATGTCTTTAGATAATTTATACTCACAGACTTTGCATATCTAAAGTAAAATAAAAAGTATGTGAAAAATAATTTAAACCAATTAGTTCCCCAAATTGCTTCAAATATTGATCCGTTTTTTGATGGAAATTTTAAAATCCTATATACTTAGCTACAACAAAACTAAATAATTGCCTTAATTTACTACAACCTAACTTGTTCTCAAACTGTTCATGAAAAAAGAAATACTGAGTTTTTCTTGCCTAAGTACCTCAGATCAGCGATACAAGAACACTTTGTTACTACTTAATATTGATAATAAGACATGAAAGTTCATGTAAGTTTTGGTAATGTAAGAGTTCAGCAAATTTGTTGTTCATATATATTTATTGTTGTTGTTGTTAAGTGCTCTCAAGTCAATTCCAACTCATAGCGACCCTGTATAGGGTTTCCCAAGAGCACCTGGTGAGTTCGAAACGCAGATTTTGCAGTTGAAACCCACCAGTGTATTACTACACAGGGCCACACCAAGACTCCATATATTTATTAACTAGAGCTCTGGTAGCGTAGTGGTTAC